CAGCTGTAGTACATAATTGAATAAATAGAGTTGTTTAAACTTTTGTTTAACAACAAGTAAAAGCTTGGAATGGTCTATTCTTTCATTGGGATGTATGTCTGCGAGCCAGACTAGTTTCGGAGAATTCCACTCCTCATCAGTGACCCTGGACACTATTCAATTATTATCACGTAGGTTATTATAAAGGAACCTTCGTTAAAATGAAGTCACCACTGTGTAAATTATTATTTAGAAACCTTCGTTATACTGTAGCCACCATCGTAAGGTTTTTTTTAAAGGAATCTTCATTATCGTGAAGCTACTATCACGTAGATTATTATAAAGGAATCTTCATTATACAGGAGCCACCACCGTGTACATTATTATAAAGAAATTGGCAGTACTGGAGCCACCATCGTGTAGGTTATTAAAAATGAACCTTCGTTAAAATGAAGTCACCATCGTGCAGATTCTTATAAAGGAATTTTTAGTATACAAAAACCATAATTTTGTATTATTAAAAATGAATTATCATTGCAGTTTTTTTTAAGTCTCCACTGTATTCGTTGTCATGGATGCCACCTAAGCCTAATTTCTAGTTATTTGCTATTTATTCCAAATTACTAGATACTCATTGCTTTTGTTTGAAGTTAAGCATAAAGCTACACAATGGCCTATCTGTACTTTGCCCACGGGTATTCAAATCCGGTTTCTAGCGTCGTATGTCTGTGCCACTGGGAGGGGGAGGGGGGGGGTACTTATTACCAATTAGTAGTTACCAACATTTTATTTACTAAACTGTTGCTGTCTGCACGTGGGTCCTTAGAAAGACACAGCCAGCGTGCCAGTCGGTGGAACTGATGCTCTGTGGTTCGCGTCATATCACTGCCAAAAACAAATCCTTTACAAATTATTTAAATTATTTTTACACTCCGCAGTTTGGGGCCGTGGTTGTATTATAAGAATGATGACCAAGTCACACTATTCGGTATGACAAGAGTAGCCAAAAATTTGGGGGTGGATGGTGACGACTAACTAACTGCTTTCATTTGAAGCTATCACTTTAAAATTATGGACAGCTGACGCAAATCAACTAGCTTATATGATTGTTGTCAAGAGAGGTATCAAGATTTTGCTGACTTCTATGCTAGATTTTCTGGGTGTGTTATCTGTTAGGTGTATGTAAAAGGCTTCTTTAAACTTTATTCTCGTGTCTGGTTCATATTCCATTTATTTAGTGTATCCATTTTATTGTATGGTCTTCTTCTTTGGTATTGCAGATAGATCGGATTCAGATTCACAAGAGATGTTCTAAATGGTGTTTTTACTCTTCATTTGATCTTTAAGTGATTTGGCGTGTAATAACTGCGATTGTATTGAATAGTGGCTTCTAAATACTGTTCTATCTTTATGCTATTTACATATACTAAATGGACCAAAAGCACATGTCCTTAGACCTGGGCGCCATCGATTGAAGAATTAAAAAAAAACGTTACTTACCATTTTTGCTTTCACTATTCGCTGGTTTCTTCTGGAGGGGGCGATTCATCTAAAAGTACATACATAAAGAGAGACACTCTCAGACTCATGTTTGGGAAATACGGGTCAAATAGCAATAAAATAAAATGGCCACCTATCTCTATAGAAAACACAATCTAAGCATAAAAAACCCATGCTAAGCCAAGTTACTCTAACATTTTAAAACTATTTATAAAATGTTTATTTAAGGAAAAGAAATGAATGAAATATAAATTGAATAAGATGTTGAAATATTTCATGTTTTTATCTGGGTATTGATATACCACAATGCTTTTTTCCACCTCTTGACATGCCACAATATATTCAAGCAGGTAGTGGCAAGTCAAGAATTTGATATCCGAACATTGACACACAACAGAATGTTATCCATGTATTTATTTAATATGCTATATATTTATATACCGACAAACTACAGCGGTTTTTATCCTGTTAATGGCACATATAATGCTTATATCCGGATACTCACATATATAATACTGCCTAATCACGGTGCCTCTATCCGGATATAGACGTGACACGATGCTCCTAGTCAGATATCAACTTATTACGATGTATCTATCTGGATATTTAGGATCCACGTTTCATAGTATCTAAGAGAAACTATGAGCTTTATATTTACTTCTCAAACTAAGGGAAGTAATGACCGTGCTGTAAAAAAACAAACCAACTAAAATTTGAATTTCATGACTGACGTTAAGAATAAAAGTTATGAAAAAACTGGCTTGATATTGCTAACCGCGAACAAAGAGAAAAACATGCCGATTTTCGATCTTACGCTAAATGAAGAAGAATTAATTTTGAACAACGATCTATCCCTGTCCTCACTGTGTACATCATGTGCCCTGTCCTCACTGGGGACATCATGTGCTGGGAAATACTATTTTAATAGACACGCGTCTGAGGTCGTTTTATGCTATAATCTTCTATGCACAAGATAGCTTTTTTACATGAGTAGCCTAAGAGTTGGCGTTTGGTGTTATTGAATATTTGCCTTTCATCTAACCAGTTGGTTCAAAATTAAGGACGGCTATGCGCAGATAGCTCTTGTATAGCTTTGCATGAAAATTCTAAATATATACATGTATATATATTTACGCGCAATTGTCAGATAACTTCATTGGATATTGACTACTTTGAATACCAGACAAGTAGCTCTACATAAACATTCAGTTAATGTTCCATTGTAACAACCATGTTAATCATTTGTATTTGAAAGTATTTTCCCAATATTTTAATAACAACCACAACAACAGAAAAAAAAGGTGGCAAGAGATATTGATATATGCAATGAATAGAGCAAAGGGGTTTCTTCTTATTTCAACTTTTGTTTCTTTTGCAGGCTTTGAAGCAAGATTACTACCGTTTTAAGTCACTAATATAATAGTATCCATCAAAACTTGTCTGTGATCGACACACACACATATATATATATATATATATATACTATACTACCAAAAGTCATGGGACACACCTCTGATTGCCGGATAAATGGGTGTGACGACGAAATATGTAAATAGTTTGGCCTTTAAAGGTGAGCAGCGGTTTGCTCGGAAGTCATTTCGAACTTGTACGCCGAACAATGAGTACACAGAAAGAACTAACAGAGTTTCAGAGGGGAAGGATAGTTGGATATCATTTTGAGGAAAATGTCTTTACGTGCTATTGCGCAACAGGTAAACATTCCCAGGTCGACAATTGGCAACGTGCTGAAGAAATGGAAGTCCAAAGGTGACAATGAGCTCAAGAAACGACCAGGTAGGCGTATAATACTAACTGACAGAAGCCGACCTGCCTTGAGATGGTTGGTTACCTCGTCTCACCATCAGACCCCAGAGAATTTGTGTTCGGAGATGCAAGCAGCCACAAGCAATCCTATAAGTGTTTCCACGACACGTCGAGAGCTGAATGTCATGAATTTTCACGAAAAAGATGCAACCCACAAGCGGTTGATAACAAAAACAAATGCACACCATCGATTGGCATGGGGCAAGGCACACCGAACCTGGACCGTGGATGAATGGAAATCGGTACTGTAGAGCGACGAGTCACGCTACATGCTCTTCCACTCTGATGGACGTGTTTGGGTATGGAAGAAGCCTG